TCTCTCTCTCTCTCTGACCCCCCCTCCCCCCCCCCCCCAAAAAAAAAAAAACCAAAATGCATCACAGATCTCAGAACTAGTTGTTATCATAGGAAATACACTTGGTTAAAATTGAAAAGTATCCTTTACAAGTTTTTTATTCTCCAACTTACCGAGCATGTCCTCCTTAAATTTTCTGTGCACTTACTCCATGTCCTCCTTAAATTTTCTGTGCACTTACTCGCGCGTTTTCATGATATCAACAATCATTTCTACAGCTCTCTGGTAGCTACATTTTTCATGACACAGATTTTCTGTGCACATAATTAACCATTTTCAACTTAGGTACAGATGTCAGTAGTTAGAACATTGGTGTACCCAATCTCCCAACTAACGTAATTACGTCCCAACAGACAACAACTCTATGGAGGTTTTTGTGGAGACATTACTTGACCCTCAAACGTAGCACAAGACAACCTCTGACAAATAAAGGGAGTTGCACTTTGATCTCACCATCTCACTCTTATGAGCATTTGAGGCCATAATCTTGTAGGTCATGAAAAAAATTGTTAAACTCATTTTTATATTTTTTGGAACTTTATGGAAGGTGTTGGCGTAGTAGATTTTGTTACTGTCTTGGGAACATACACTATTGAGGGAAATATCTGAACTTGGTACAGTGATTGGAATATCTTGTTCTTGATTTTTCTGTAGCATTTTGCTTTTGTGATCATACGTTTTCATTCTTTTATCTTGTATACTTCTTTAATTCATAGTTGAACTTCTTCTTCAGGGGTGCTGGTTATCCTGATCTTTGGCCTTCAGCTACTTGTCGTGAGCCACTTGATGTCAGCAAAAATTTTACATTCGATGTGATTTCTAGTATTTTGGCAGGTCTGCTCCCCTTTGTCAAACTAGTGGCCATCGTATTAGCATGGGGATCACTTGTTAAATGTAGAGTGGTTGAAGGGACTCTATCTCTGACATCTTCTATATTATCTTTCTGTAGCTATACTAAAATGAAAATATGTTTTAGAGGCAAGGTATTGAAGTCATGGTATTAATAAGATACATAAAAAGCTTATGCAATTACTTATTGATAATCCTTCTATCCCCTACACTTAAATGATTGTTTCTCAAGATAAAAGACTCAATTGGCAAAAGTTTGGCTTTATATAGCCTTTAAAGGTGTTAATTCTACTTAGTGAATAGAAAAACGTTGTTAATTCTGCTATCAAGGGTGGAATTTTTACGGGAATGCACTCCATTGAGTTGGTTCTCGTGCTTTCTTTTGATTTTCTGGATCTAAGAGCTCATTAATTTTACGACATACTTGCCATTGCTTCTCTGGTCGAGCCACCTTGCAGTTTGCTTCATGCTAGACTCCAATAGAGCTTCATGAGTTCCTTTCACCAAACTGAGTGCTATTATCTGCTATTAGTCCAAGTTTTACAAATTGCTACTCTTCAATATGTCGTTTCAACATACTCAACAAAGTGAATATTGGAAATTGGACTTGATTGCATGTGTATTATGAATTTTATGTGACTGTTTCATCAGGCATGCTTGTACTAAGAAGATAAGTATTGCTTATACTAAGAAGATAAGTATAGATATCGCAAATGGCTAGTGTACGTTTTCTTATTCTAAGCCTTATTTTCCTGATCAATAGTTCTTATTGTTTTCAGACATGAGGAAGATTTTCCCTTTTGAGCTTTTCCATTTGGGGGGAGATGAGGTCAATACAGGTATATTTTATTGTTCCTTGTTTTGTTGCTTTCATATGAGTTCTCTTAGGAGATGGAAAATTGTCTTTGACATATAGCATTTGTTTTCTTATTATCTTATTTAATTTTTATTTTTAGGATTACGTTTGAATAGACCTTAATGAACAACTATACATTTGGTATGTTGGCCACAACATGAGCCTGACAGACAATCTATTAAGAAATCTCCCAAATGGGTTCAGAATCAAAGGATTCTCAGTCCAATCCCCCAAGAGATCTCCTAAATCAGTCTCAAACTGAAGATCTGTCACCTATCTTTTGCTTCATGTTGTGATTTCTCTTTTTTCTTTTCTTTTCTTTTTGTTTTAAATTAAGGATTTCTCTTGAATAACATCTAAGCCTTCAAAATATATTGTTTCAACAATCATGAAAATTATTAGCATCATGTGCTGTAGATTTACAAATAAATCCCCTATATTTGAAGAAAGCAAATGATGACAAATTGCAATAGGCCATGTATTTGGGCTTCTAATATATCCATCATGGAATCTTAAAGAAACTACAGAGCAGTTGTCAAGGAGCTTATAAATCCCCTATATTTGAAGAAAGCAAATGATGAAAAATTGCAATAGGCCATGTATTTGGACTTCTAATAGATCCATCATGGAATCTGAAAGAAACTATAGAGCAGTTGTCAAGGAGCTTGTACTCCATATTTCTATTCATGATGTGTTCTTCCATGACTTTAAAATCACTCACTGACATGGGTGATTTTACTTGTATTTACTTTGTCAGTAATCATTATTTCAAACTGTAGTCCTGTATCATAATGGTTCTATGTTTTGGCAGATTGTTGGAACTCTACCCCACATGTGAAACAATGGTACTCTCTCTCTCTCTCTCTCTCTCTCTCTCTCTCTCTCTACTCTACTCTCTCTCGTCTCTCTCTTCTACGTCGTCTACGTCACGTACTA